ACACAAGTGTAGAAAACAATTTGCACAAGCTCGGCTATGTTTCCAGGCTTAATGTTTGGGTCCCTCACTCTCTAACCGAAATGAACTTAGCATTTCTGTTTGTGATTCACAACGGAAACGGCAACAAAACGACCCATTTTTAAAAAGGTTGGTAACAGGAGATGAAAAATGGATATTTTACGATAAAGTAGTCAGTAGAAAATCTTGGGGGCCTAGTAGTGAGGCTCCTAGAAAAATGTCATAACCTGGATTGCATCCAAAGAAGATAATGCTTTCCATATGGTGGGATTTCAAGGGTGTTATTTTCTATGGGCTATTGCCATCAGGACAAACAATTTATTCAAATCTATACTGCTCACAATTAACAAAATTGGTTCAATCAATTAAAAATAAATGCCTAGAAGTGGCAAATTGAAAGGGTATTGAGTTTCACCAAGACAACACTAGGTCCCACACCTCATTGGTCACTTGCAATAAATTATTGAGGTATGGATGGGACCTTTTGCCCCACCCTCCCTATTCACCAGACCTAGCTCCAAGTGACTACCGCTTATTTCGGTCTCTGCAGAACTCCATGAATGGAAATAAATTCCAAAAGGAGGAAGACATCAAAAACCATTTGGATCAGTTTTTTAAGAATAAACTCCCAACGTTCTATGAACATGACATTATTCAGTTAATGAAAAGATGGGAAAAAGTCTTATTAAATAATGGTCAATATATTATAGATTAAAATAAATTTTATGTCTATAATACATTGAGTTTTATTTCACCCTGAAAACCGAAAGGAATTATTTGCCAACCCAATATATAGCCAGAAAAATAAATAACTCTTAACCGATAATATTAATTTATATATAATTAACCGCATGCTTTTTAATTTTTGTTCCTGCATACAGTTTCTTTTTTATCATTTTAATTAATTGTAAAAGCTTTTTTTGGGGGGGAGGGGTGATAAATATTCAGGACGCAGTCTTTTAAAAATTTTTTATTTGTGCCAACGTTTCAACCCAAACATGTGGGTCATCTTAAAGGTGTGGTTCGAGCACTGAATGCTTTCAAGTACCCTGAAGATGACCCACATGTTAGGGTTGAAACGTTGGCACAAATAAAAAATTAATTTTTTTTTTAAAAGACTGCGTCCTGAATATTTATCACCCATGATATGTAGAACAGTCGACTAGCTTCCTTCAATAAAAGCTTTTTTATATTTTTTATTTGTTTTAGTATTTCTCTACCAAACTCTGACTGTTTCCCTCCAAATCCATCTCATGTCTAGTACCCTAATCACCTGTCATATTAACTCTCAACCCCACCCTGCCCACTATGACGAATTCCTGCAGTATTTCACTCAAAATTTTTATCATATTATCGTAATCTCCGATACGTGGCTTAAACATTACATCTCGTCCCTGCCCTATTCTTCTATCTCTATCTCCTTGCCTAGTCTGAAGACCCGAATCCTCGATTTCTCTCCACCCTTTGATCACCCACAAGTTGAATACCTATTAGTAGAAACCCTCTGTAATACTTTTCCTTTCCATTACATTGTGGTATATTGTCCTCCTCTTGTTCCATTTGACACGTCCTTTGAATCTACTCTATTGATTTTTATTCCCCTCTATCACAGAATAACTTTGCCGGTGACCTCAATATCAATTTCCTTTCTAACTGAAATGACAAATCCTATCTAGAAAACCTATTTTTCTCCCTTCACCTCTTTATCGTTTCATTTTTCTCCACTCACCATACTAACAGGATTGACACTTGACAAGATTTCTACAATATAAACTCTGCACCAAACCCCTCTCCTCTTCCCAACTGCCAGTATTCTTTTTATCATCTGACGTTCTGATACAAATAATGTATAATATCCAAACAACTCCTATCCAGCCTCGAACTATCACCTTCCGCCATCTAGATGCCCTTACATGAGAAAAAATATTACATGACCTGGGAATCCTAGATTAGGATGGAATATATTCTTGCTCTTCTATCAACTCTATGGTTGATATTCTTTCTACCAACCTTCTCAATTACCTCAATAACCCATGCTCCTCTCAAAATCTCTACCTTTCGTCACCAACCTGCACCTTCGATGTGTCATGAAACTAAAGATCTGCAGAAGAGGTGTGACGCTGCCTGTAGACACTTTAGACATACTAAGCTTCCAGACGACTACCAAGCGTTAGGTGCTTCGCAACTTGACACAGACAAGGATCCGGCAAAATCTACTTACTTTCATGAAACCCTTTTCTCAACTCCTGATATCAAATCAAAATGGTTACTGCTGCATAAACTTTTCCTTTGTGATCCTTCCAGATCCCCTACCTCAGCCTTTCCAGTATCCCCTGATGATCAAAACTCGCATTTTATATCTGTTGCTAGTATCTCTCCTCTACCCTTCTCTTCCAGCTTTTCTCCAGAAATATCATTTAAAAACAATAAATTTTATTTTTCCAACATTTTCTCCATAGACCTTTTAACCGGTGTAATGAAATCCCACACCAATCCCATAGGACCAGCAATTCTTCACAATTCAATTATTTCACAACGTACCCAACCAGTCTCCATACCCAATCAACCACTATCTACCTTTTTTTATCCTCTGGAGTCGCCCAAGGTTCAAGCATATCTCCTATCCTTTTCAGCTCCTACATTAACGACCTACATAAATCAATTATCCATTGTTCCCACCACCTTTATGCAGACGATTCTCAGTTTTACCTGTCCTTTTCTCCCCCTATGTTATTGGTAGCATTTGCTACCAGCTATTCAAGAAGACCTGTGCCTGGGCAAATGTAAATGGATTAAGGTTAAATGCTGCCAAAACTCAGGCCATTGTCATCGGTTCCAAGCCCTTTCTTAGATCCCACACCGACTTTTCCATCCTACACCTTAATGAACAGCCAATCACCTTTTACTCCTCTGTTAAAAATTTAGAATTTTTCATTGACCAAACGCTTTTCTGGAATCAACATATTTCTCACATCTCTTGGCGGACAATTTCCACCCCCAAACTCTTCCATCGCTTCCGCCATCTCCTAACTCAGCATAGGCATAGACTCATAGTTTCCTCTCTCATCTTCCCCCATTTTAACTACAGCTGTGTGGTGTATCATACACCTATGATGATGGCCTCTCTGTGGAGCTCTGCGATAGACTGAAAAGAATAAGCATTTTGTAATTGGGACTCTGAGATATTCCCATGTCTCTAACCACTACACCACTACACTGAATTAATGTGGCTCTTCCCCTCCTTCTGAAAGACAATATTTCATAGGCACATTCCTCTATCAAATCATCAACAATCATCCTACTTCTTAAGTCCACAACTTTCTCCAGTAAAGTCCTCAGTCCATTCCCTTGCCACAAGATCTAGACCTTCTGACCTCTACATCCCTTCTAACAGATCTGCCTCATTCCAAAACTCCGTTGTTTGCTCTGTCAATTTCTGGAACTCCCTCCCTATCAAAATTTGGCATTCCACCTCCCCATCCACATTCAAAACCCTCCTATTCCAATTCCTGTCCTAAAAACAGTCAGATTTTGAGAATCTGAGAATCAAACAGACTTTTTGACAATAATGTATAAACATTTACTTCATCTCATTTATCACCAAGGGATAGTCCTATTCTTTCCTAGGGATATTACAAGAATTTCTTAATCTCGATGCCACTCAATGCATCAATTTTTTTTGTATAGTTATGTATAGTTACATTAAGAAATGTTCACGCTCTTCTCATGATGTATTTGTATATTATTATTTATTTGTATATTATTTAGATGTATTTATATAGTGTAGTGCATTTAAATACTTAGACATTTTATATTGACAGATTCAGTTCTCTTTTTTCTTAGTAGAAACTGAAAGCTTATCAATAAAAAGAATTTAATTTATTTTTTCTTAGAAGTGTATATTTATACTGTTTTACCATTGTTCATAGTTTAAGTGTTTTGTACATAGTTTTAAGTGTTTTGTTTATAGTTTTATTTTTTTTTTTTTGTATATAGCATGTTCACTTAATAATTTCTTTCATTTTTTTATTTGTTTTTTATTATTTTATAACATAGACTGGAAGTAATCTTTTTTTATATGATGTTATTCTCAAGAAACTTTGTCCCAGAATAAAGTTATTTTCTATTTATTTACATCTATCTACCTATAATTGACAGTAATGCTAAATTTGGACAATTCTTTTCTTCACAAAAAATCTTTTGGGAGAAACTAAGATCTAAAATGATGGGGTTTAATAAATGAATAATCATTATAACTGAGCAGTAGACATAAAATCCGGAAAATCTTTGTCAAGAATTTTTCAATCGGCATACAAATACCCATTTATCAATAAGACAGCTAATATTAACTGGGTAACCTACAACACAGAATTTGTTTTTCTGTTGCATTTGCTTATTTTAGACCTTATTAATTATTACATTTTATGTGAATTGCCACAAACTGGTTATGCACAGTTTGGGGCAAGTTAATCCGACAAATTTAAACCTTTCCATAAAACTGTTTTAATATAAAATTATCCACTAGTGAATTAATCGTTTAAAATCACAAATGGAGAGGATTAATTATTGAGAAATATATTATATTTCTATTTGTTTTCATATAAACACATAATAACAAACTTCTTAACAGACATAGTTCAAATTATTATTTTATAAATAGAGGTTCAATAATATTACTATTGTTTTTAAATTTCTTCTTCTTTATCAACAAAGGGACAGTTAAAAAATGGTGAAAATCTGTAGTCATCAGAAAATATATAACTGCCACTAAGAAAATGCTTACAAAATATCAAGACTTTCTAAATGTTTTTGCTGGTATAAATCAGTATCACACCATTCAGCTAAAACGATTATCAATATTCATATTTTTTCTAAAATAAAATTCCAAGCAATAATGTTGATTTAAAACAGGAAAGAAAATTAAAAGTGATTAATGCAATATTAGAAGACTAGTTTCATGCAAACATTATTTTAATACACACCAAAGCCACTTTAACGATGAGATGATTCTCATACTTGGTTTCAAGCCGGTAGTTTTCTAATGACAGTAAATATTTTATAATGTAGTGTGAATATTAACAAAATATACTAAATACAATGTAAATTAATAATGTTCAATATCACAAAATTTAATTAAATTTTCAAATAAAATATTCATCAGGTGGGAATTAAATAAACATTAGAATATATAACATGCATGCAGTACGCAATGTGTAAGCAAATATCATAATAAGTAGCTAAAGTGTTATTATTATTATTATTATTAGAAAAACTTTTAATATTTAATAATAAAACACTTCCCACTTGATATAATTAAGATCTATAAGTTTGAAAAATAAATTATAAACATTAGTGCCAATGAAATATCAAAATTTGCATAATATATTTAAACAAGAGGTAAAAAAAATAATTCACACCAACTTGACTTAATTTTTGACTTAATCAAAACAAACAAATAAAATGGAAGAACTTGAAAAATAAAATAAAAATATTAGGAAACAATGGAATTTTTAGATGAAAGTGGAAATATTTTTGTAATATATATAAAAATTAAATAGGCAATCTAAAGAATTTTTTTTTATCATATAATAAAAATTATATTAAACCATACATGAATTTAAAATAATAATAAAAATATATTATTTTTAAAACATAAAAAAAAATAATCAAAGAACGAATATTGAGTTTGCACAAGTGTCGTGCAAATTATTACCAGGCGAAAATAACAGTAAATGCATGCCATGCAAAATAATATATTTAGTTTAGTAGTGAGTGTAATGGTTAGGCATTGACAGAAACAACACTAATATTGTTTCTGAATAATGTTTTTATGTAATTTATTTATATACATAGGTAACATTATAATTACTTATAATATATTCCAAAGAGATGTTTATTTAATACATCATTAAGAAACTTCTGACAAATAAAAAGTAACTAATACTCATTTCCATGAAAATTATTAACTTAAAAAAAAAAAATAGGAAAAATTGGGGTTTCAAAAATACAAATATGCTCATGATACATATAATTTTATATAAAATACTCATATTAATAGTGGTAGGAAGGTAAACCAATATATGTTTGAAATAAGAAAAATTAATCTATTGATTTACATAATTTAAATAACCAAAATTGGTAAAAGCTACTTAAATTATGATCTTGTTTTTATTAGAACTATCATAATATAAAAGAAAATCACAGTACTTAATTCATAGTATAATTCAGAAGTCTCCAAACATTTCAATTTAAGTGCCACACTGACTCGTTCATCACTCCCAGGAGCCAAGAACTAGAATTTTCATACCAACTTACTCACGTCCTTAATTAAATTTAAAATGTTCAACTACATTATGTACGTTATACCATACGTTAATGTTATTGTTTTTCATTACATTTTTTCTGCATGGCTCTTTTTAAAAATTTAAACATAAAATATAAATTTCAGAGCTTTCGAATGCATTAAACATTATTACAGTATTTGTACACAAACAATTGGAATTTTATTTCTGATAACTTCCTCCCTAAACATTCATTGATATATATTATATTTATTGTAGTCCATAAAGCCACTAACGGATCCAGGATTTAATTTTGGGGCAGGGGGGTTTCAGCCCGAAAGGTTTTTTTTTATGTATGAATTAGGATAATTAATTTGGAAGAAAGAAAGAAACTAAGTACCTGAAAGAAATGGTAATTAAGTCCCATTTAAGTAATCAGACGAACAATAATACTTTTCTATATTTTTTTGCATAAAACTAGGTTATATTTTCCAATTTTGGGGGAGGGGCTTCAGCCGGAAAGCTCCTCCCCTCCTCGAAGATCCGCCTGTGCATAAAGCAAAAGAGGAATGTGATTCAAGGGAAATCACTAAGGCAGAAAAAAAAATCTGGTGAGGAGCACGCATCACATAACTTTCAAGAAAGTAAAAATTACATACAGTACAAAAATTATTTTGTTTAAAAATAAATTACCAGCCGTCCAATGTATTATGCTTATGTTTTTTTTTACGCTAATCATCGCCTTACTATAATAGAAATAAATTTCTACAATTTTATTACTTGTCTTAATTTCATATATAGATAAGCAAAAGTAAAAACAGTGACTATACACCACTCAACCATAAAAGAAATTATTGGGCAATGTGGAATGAGAAAAAATTATGTTTTTAATTTAAGCCAGGATGTTCTAGAAAAATTAATCCTACAACTGAAAAAAAAAGTAAAAAAACAAAGCAAGCTTTAGCACCCCTAAATTAGAGAGAAAAACATTTTGCTGAAATATGAGAATAAATGAGTGAACCGTGCTATCATGTTTACAATGTATTTAATTTAAAAGCAGAAGAGCTCCAAAAAAGCTTGCATAAATATTAATAATTATAATTACGAAAAAGGTACCAGTGGACCTAAGACAATATAAAAAATAGCAGTGATTTTTTGAACCAGGTAATATTCTCTGGCAAGTGTAAAATTAAAATATTCATTAGCTTTGGAAGTCAAAAAGGGTAGAATAAAAGAATTATTTCAATAGAAACAAGAAATGTAATTCCCACTGTCAAACATGGAGGTAAGTCACCTCCATTTGAAAATTGCTTTGAGCTTTCTGAGATACACACAAAAAACATTGTATAAAGTATTCTCAGTCTTTTTACCCAGAATTTCAAAAACTTCTTCTTCTCTCACTATCTCATGTGTGCTGCTAAGCGTGGAGTAACTGCCTCTGACCATTTTGTCCAATGGTCCCTGTCCTGTGCAAGCCTTCTCATTTCCGGCATGGTGCTTACTCTCGCTGTGCCAATTCTCTCAATCTAGTTTGCATACATAAGCCTTGGCCTGTCTTGAAGTCGCCTTCCTCCCGGTGTTGCTTCTATGAGCCACCTGGCCTTAGGGTCATCTACCATTCTCTTAACATGCCTGTACCACTTCAACTGTCTTTCTTCAATCGTCTCTAAGACGGATCTAACTCCTAGTTCATCTTGCACCCTTTCATTTCTTATTCGATCTCGCTTGGTTTTTCCTAACATTTTCTGTAGAATTTTATCTGATGAGGTGTGTGCATCACTAAACTTTTACTTACCACACTACTTTGAGTTGAAATAGATATTTTCATAAATGGAGAAGTGAAAGTGAAAATTAATTACCATATGTTTTTCCCACATGCCTAATCTATTAAATTTATCCGTATTTGCTACTGCATTTTACGACTATATATTTGTATCATTTATTTAATTATAATTAATAATTAAGGGTCGTGAAATGTTTTCAGTCCGACAAGAGTGACAGTGATTAAAGATGCTACTATATTTGTTTATACTTTTCTATAGGTATTTTTATTTGTTCTAGAATTTGTATATATATGAACTTTAATTTTTATATGGTCGTAATCTATAAAATTAAAAATATCACAGCTAGCATTTATAAGAATTCCGCATAGTTATACATATATGAATATAGTCTATGACCTATGATATACCCCACATTATGTACATCTTACGTTTTGAAGATCATTACCTTTCGGTTAAGCTCAAGTGTGCACTTGGGTTTCTTCTGTACTATTCATACCTTACCAGCTGTTATTTCTCCTTTGATTAGTAATGAAATTCTTTCATAGTTTATATTTAAATGTTTTTTATAACTGTTTACAATATTAAATGGTTAATTATTTCAAATAAACAAAATCAAAGACACTTTAGAGAGAGAAATTTTTTTAATTCAGCATATAAGCCATATCAGACCATTTCAATGTGGATAATACTTATCTAATATAAATCCACATTGATTTAATAATAATAATAATAAAAAAACCAGCAAATGCTGTGAAATAAGGGATTTCCCTAAATAATAATAATACAGGAAGAGCCTTAAGATACTATGGAGGACAAGGTTAACTTAACTAATATAGAACAAGGAAACATCCATGTCACTGTAATTACAGATTATTTAATTCCAAGGTATCTCTCTCAGGAGTCATTCCACCATCTCAATGGTATTCATATTCTAAACCAACACTCCAAACTGTTTTAGCACTGGATCCTATGTTGCAATAATATATTAGAACCAATTGTGACCTCGATGAAATCTGACACAGAATATATATTGCAGCAAGGACGGTTGTAAAACAATTGGGACTTATAAAGAAGTAGATATGGCAAAAGCAAAGAATATTATTGAAATCAAGAATTTTGATCCACCTTGGAAGAGAAGGTTGAACATAAAATTGATAAATTATGCAGAAAAATAGAAGTTCTTACAAACTATCTTAATAATCCTGACAGAGCATCAATACAATTGAAGACTATGATTGATGAGCTCATTGTGAAACATATAGGTTCCGTCAGTAGGTCTGAACTCAATTGAAGCTGTCATTACTCTCAGAACTTATGAAACAAAAACTTGTAGAGTTTGTGCTAACAGGGTACGAAGATATACAAAAGCTCATTCCCGAAGAAAGTAAAATCACTGGTTTTAAACAGCTGAGAGGAAATCTCCTGAAAACAAATAAAAAGGAAGACTCCTTTTCTTAGTTGCACCCTGATGAGTCTGATTTTTTTAACTATTGGGAAAACACTTGGGATAGTCAAAAACACTTTAATAAGAATGCTTTCTTATTATTACTTGCACAATGAAACACAGGATGTTCCTATCATGGATGAAGTGCAAATTAATCCTGATAACATACAGCAGGGGTCTTCAATCCGGCCTGCAAAAGTTTCTTAGATTAGATGGTAAAATTTAAAAAAAAAATTAAATTTAGTAAATCACTCAAACACGAGGTTACTGCAACATTTATTTTTCTAGTTGTTTCTCTTAGAATGCTCATTTCACAACTGAAGCCTTATTCATAAAACAATCTTTTTTTTTTTATCATAAGCCATGGCCCGCAGAACTTAGAAGAGGTGTCAATGTGGTTTGCTGAACTTAGTGGAGGTCTCAAAAAGTTTAGAGACTCCTAGAGTACAGGAATCTATCAAGTGTACTCATAATTGGAAAGCAATCGGGCCAGATAAAATTCAAAACTATTGGCTCAAACACTTTAAAAGTGTTCATGGACCATTAACCTCATTATATCAAAAACTGCTATACGATTCAGTTACATTTCTAAAGGACTTCTATTTGGGGAAAACATATTTGATTCCGATACAAGCTAATGATCCGTAAATCAGTAACAAGCTAATGAGACTATACAAAAGTACAACCTATGACACAGGAGCAAATTGGATGTAAGCGATGTAAAAGTAAAAAGCTTCTGGTGGTAGATTCGTTCATAGCTTATCAGGTATCAAAAAAGTTATAATATATCACTTTCATGGATTGAATATCAGAAAGCATTTGACTCAGTTCCTCATGACTAGTTGATGGAAATTTATGATGTAAATGATTATGATAGAAATGGTTTAAGTCAACCAAAAAGTAATAGAACTGTTGCAATGACTTATGAAACTATAGAAAGTATCATAGGTACATTTAACTAAATAGAATCTCATCGTCTTTAAGGTACTATTTTGCTGGTAATGCCCACAGTGCCAACTGCTAGCAGTAAAGCACTGCCTTAATGGAATTGAAAGAACCCTTTTTATTGGCACTGCTCAGCAATCTAGGTATAATGTCATATCTATACTGCTCCTTTCTGACTACTTCTGAAGCAGTGAAGCTGTTGACAGTACAGCAGTTATAGGTTATGTTATCATATCAGAGAATTTTTTTGACGATAACAGTCACCTTGATATATTTCATTTTCTTTATTTAAATAAAAAATGGTTTAAAATAAAAAAAAGCTATAGTAAATCACTTTTTTAAGTTGTTGAAGCAACAAGATTATTTATTGCACCAAAAGTATTTTACAGAGGAATTCAAATATACCTAAATACATTAATAAACCGAAAAATTTGAGCCTCACGTAAATACTCAAATCCATACACTGAAAAATCAAATTATCTTTTTTAATTAAAGTTCTGATTTACTGATTATCTATTGATAAAACGGTAAAACATTGTTTGTTGTGATTTACAATTATATTAATAATTTTTGGAGGATTTCGAGGTGAAAGATGGGCTTCGGCAAGGAGATCCTTTATCCCCTACTCTATTTAATATTGCTTTAGAGTATGCAATAAGAGCGATCCGGACATAGCCTGATGGCACAATTTATAATAGAATGACACAGCATCTGGCTTATGCTGATGATGTTGCAGTAACGGCAAAAAATAAAACATCATCAGCGGGGTCATTAGAAGAATTTGAAACCGCAACTAAAGGACAAGGGCTACAAATAAATAAACAGAATATTGTTTATATGCAAACGTCAAAAAAGCCAGGTGAAACAGTCAAACAAGTCACAATTGGTAACCACACCCTAAAAGTGGTCGATCATTTTAAATATTTGGGAGCTCTAATTACAGAAAACAATGAAATGGTGGAAGAATTAAAAGCAAAGATGGCTGCCGGGAATAGGTGCTGTTTTGCAATGCGAAAAATATTAAATTACAGATTCCTTTCTTACAGAACAAAGATCACGATGTATGAGAAAGTCATCAGACCCATCGTCACATATGGCTCTGAGACTTGGGTGATCTCCAAAGCATCCGAAAAAAAGGCTACTCGCATGTGAGAGAAGGGTTCTCTGCAGAATCTATGGCCTGGTGTGCGAACAGGGACAATGGAGAATTCGCACTAATAAAAAGCTGCAAGAAATGTATGCGAGGCCGGATTTGGTCTCAATTGTGTGAGGGACAACCAGATCAGATGGTTGGACCAAGTAGTGTGCATGCCCCGAGACGTGATTCTCAAACACTTGCTAGAGGATCGGCCTACCGGAAAACGTGGAAGAGGAAGACCATGCCTCAGATGGCTGGACCAGGTAGAGGACAGCCTGAAAAGCATGGAAATACAAAGATGGAGAATGCTCGTTCGAGATAGAGGAGAGTGGTGAAGGATCATAAGAGAGGCCCAGGTTCTGACAGGACCGCAGCGCCAAGAATAAATATAAATAAATAAAAAAATGTACTGTAGAACTTTAATAAACTGAATAATAATCAAAGCTACTAAAATACAATCGGTACCTATACTTAAGCGTTTCTGTGAGAATGAAGGTAATTAAATATGAGCATTAATTAGAAAATAATGATAAAATTATGTAAATTAAATATTACTAACTAGAACTTATTGCAATCTAAATTAAATATAGATTTCAATAGTTAACAATGATCTACACCTTACCTTTATCATTTAACCAACAAGCTACTTTGTAATAAGCTTCATCTAAAAGAGTAATGCCTACAGCCAGCATTATTTTTGGCACATAACTAAGGCAAAAAGCATAACCTCTAGCTTCTATTTGGCGGTCCCACCAGTCCTACAAACATTAAAATTTCATTGGTTGTTATATATTGGTTTCTACTGCTTCAATTCTTAATAAAATATATTTCCTGAAGATCATAAGGTTCAGTCAATAAATAAAAAACTATGTTTACAAATTGTGTGAGTGAATGAGTGAGTGTGTTTTATTTATTTTTTATTTGTGGGTAGGGGAAAAGTTATCCATTAGACGAAGTGCAACAAACAAAAGTCACACAACAGTGTGAGTGAGATTCCTCCTTCTAACTAAAACACCACCCCTAATTCTTCTTTAATATCTCATGAAACTACTATCAAGCATTACTTTACGGTGAGTAGAAGGGCTATCTGTATACCTAATTCTTCTCTGGACATCTTATTTAAGCTATGCGATTGTCTAGCCTCTTCTTGCTCCTGTGCTCAAAGCCTTCTACCAATTTGAGCTGCACAGTCTGCTGCAGCACCCCAATTATCCTGTCTAGTCATCATCAAATCGACTAAGTTTTCCAGGACTATTTTCTTTCCAAATTTCATGACTAGCTCTTCTTTTTCTTAAGTAAAAACTGAACAACAGAAGAATGTATGTTCCAATGTTGCATCCATGGAATCACAGGTGGGCCACTATGCTCTATTCTCTAGTTTAAAGAGGACCGAGTAGCTCCTGAAGTAACTATGCTCTGTAAGCAGTTGGGTCAGGTAATAGTCTACCTTCTCATATTTCCAGGATAACCATGTTAATATGTCGGGAATCAGACAGTGGGTGGGTCCATCTTCCAGAAGATTAGTGAGGCATTCCAGTGTCTCTACTATCTTTCAAGAGTTGATTTCTCTGTTCCTTTGCTAATATAACCAAGTGGGCATCTGGCTCTTCTCATTTTCTTCAATTGCCTCAGTTTTATGATCGACAAGCTGGAGGCCTACCACTGAAAGCCATGTGCACGTGCGCGCCTGTGTGTGTTTTTTAAAAATTTGATTCCTGAACTTTAAAACAATAGTAAAACTAAGGTTCATAAAAAAAAAAAATTTCAAGACATGACCTCAGTTTAAATCATGTTTCCCAGCTATGGATAATCATTAAGAATTAATAATAAATAAATATATAATATATATATATATATATATATATATATATATATATATATATATATATATATATAAATAATAATTCTAGGAAGTTAAGATATTTATGGGGAACAGAAATTCCTGAGAAATAATAAAATTAAATCTAATAACAAATATTATAATCATATTGTTTACGCATAATTATTTATTTATTATTTTAATTAATAAATTGGTGTAGGGAGGTGGCGGCCCCATCGCCCGGTCATAGTATCGCAGGTAGTCTGACTGAGCCTCCTGGCCCTCCAGGTTGGGGGAACAGACACTGACGCTTACACATATATACTCTATACAGCACACTACCACACACTCAATCACATCATCATCGAAGGTCATAAACAGTACACACCCCAGGGTCACCTTCCCTAGGTAGCCGTGCCCGGATGGGGAAGTGTGTCAGGGCACTTTGAGGATGCAGCCCCTCCACCTGACTCGGGGGCAATGGGCTGATATCCTATTCCCCTTAAATTATTTTATCTACAAAGCTCAGAAAGGATTAACCAGACTGGTATACGGAAAACAAATCAGGAAACGTCAATAGGAATATACTAGTGTTGCCCAAAATTGGTCTTGGTCTTGCGGTCTTATGCGGTCTGAGACCAAGACCACAAAAATTGTTGCAAGACCAAGACCGAGATCAGAACCTGCCAGTCTTGCGCAATACCAAGAACAAACTCTGCTAGTATTGCAGTTAAGTCAAACTGAGACTATTTTCAGATGTACGGTGCTTAAACATTTTAATAATCTAATCTAGACAGTGTTGTTTTTTTCTTGTGGAATCGTATATTTGATTATAACCTTCCAAATAATAATAAAAAAATAATCTTTTTTTTTTGTTCTCCCGCTACATCGCCTTTAAGTTATACGGGGGTTTTCGCGGGCCTTGGATGAGGGCATGGGTTTAATGCCAGAGTTAAAAGACTCCCGGGCAGCGGGACGCGAACTCATAATTATTTTATTTTCTCCAACATCGGTATCAGGTTGCCGGGCAACGCGCAGTGGTGTGCACAATCGTTAGTCTGCTTGACCCCTAAAAATTATTCATTTGCCAGGACCGGAGCAAGATAAAAAAACAAAACATGAATAAAAATTAAGAATAAATGTTTACTAATACCAGCCCATTTTACTTACTATAACGAAACTTAAGATACAAGCCTGGTGAAATCATCCATGTACAACGGCATAACCCGAAAGAAATTATTTCTTTGCATTGACATTTCTGTGTTCGGTCCGCTGTTCGCAGTATTCATTATTTCTTTAAAATGTCTAACACCAAGTTTTAATCGAGTGGCTAAATTGCAAATACTGAACTTTCTGATACACTCATTAATTACACACCTTATTCTTTGAAATTTAACTGGAACCATGTTGACATATTTTAATCAAATGTTTGTAAATGACAACAAAGGGTTAAGACTAAATTCTATTTCAGAACCGGATTCCTTGGTGGAACTAAGCAACAGTAAAGTGGATTAATGTTCTAAGAATATGAGCTTCACAAGTTCCGTATAGTCATCCCTTACTGGATATTTTTGGCTATAAGTCAATAAATCCGTTATTTTTAACCAGATTTCCTTGTTTTTTTCGTTTCGTAGCAAAACTATCATGTGAGCAATGAATATATTATTAGAAATAATATATAAAAATACAAAAATAAATGACAGTGTGGTAAATAATGTGAGATATCTTATTATAAAATTCAGTTGTTTTTTTTTTTATCATTAAAAATTCTTATTTTAGCTTCTAAATACTTTATATATACACTTCAAATAAGGTATTGTAATGTATGTTTTTTTATCTCAATAAATTTGAAATTTGGTTCATTCTACTGAAAAACTCGTTTCTCGAAAACTGACAACTTTTTTACTGTAAATTTCAGAAAATGTCAATATTATTAGACTTTCCGTGAGCAAAATAATATATATTTTTTATACTTGTGCATGAAACAGGATTCAGAACTTCAACATAAAATCCAGTATGAAATTATTTTATCTTAGCTTATTTTTTATTTTTTTTTTACTCATACCGGTCAATTCTCGTCCATGAATTGTTCTTTATTTTCCTTATAGTTCTTCATTCTTATAATTGATAATTTGTTTACTGTACATCCTACAGATTTTTTATCTTTCCTTTTGTATTTTATTTCATATATAACTTATGACACAGTACTACATTAACGTTTATTGTTATTCTGGTCATAATAGTTATTATAATTTACTAATAATTTAAATAATGATTTAAGTTTGAGAGTTAATCATTAAAAGTTTAAGTTAATGAATAACAGGTATTTAGAAACGTCGACAAATTGCAAAGGGCCTCAAGTCAACGGTGGCAACTGGTTTTTATTAATTATTGATGTACACATCTCAATAAAGGTTTTCGAACAATTTTCAAAGAATGGATGAAATCTAAAATTTTGCAGTAGAAGGAATGCACAGAATTGCCATGGAACTTCCAAAATTACATAAACTGTGAAATGGTTCCCGATGAGCAAAATAAATGTTGTTTTTTCATATTTCTATCCTCTAAAAAGTGGAAAAGCATTTTAGTGGACATTAACAAAGATTTTATAATAATCCTGTGAAAACTGAAATTATTGGTTACCCAAATTCAAGCTATACTATACATATTTTTCAATACTTTAATTAAATTCAACGACGTATAATTCAACAACAAAATCTGGCTGTGGAGAGCTCAGACCTGGGTATTGGTAGTTTTAGTTCAGAGAAGAACATAAAGTGTTATATCCATTTGGTACCACAGTATGAAGTCCGTTATGGAGAAACGTTTCAATTAAAATCTAAATAGAAAAATAAAGAACATAAAGGATGCGCGCGCGGTACTTGTTCATAATATCTAAGTGCCCAAAGTAATAATACCTAAGTAACTAAACTACTAATAAAAGCTTTTATGAATTCAGGTGCGAATCTAATATATGTTCTAAAAACATTAATCAATTAATTGTATAAACATACGTATTTATGCTTTATGAAGTTTAAAATTAACATTATGCAGCTCTAATGATTTTAATGAAACTTTCTTCTAATTTTCTACTTAAAGTCTTTCTTTAAATTTTCGTATTTTTAGTGAATTCTCGAGACAATTCAAGAAAAAAAGTTATAAAGAAAAGAAAATTGTTTTGGGGAGCTAACTCACCATGTATACACCTATCGGTTTTTTACGGATTTAAACGTTTCTGAGCCTGTCTTGAGGCCTATTTTTTGAAAGTTCATTAAATTTCTGACACAATTATTGACAAAAAATCACAAGAATCGGTCCAGTATAGTATATATTGTTTTTTATACGCTGATTTTAATGGTGGTTAACTTGCCCGTTTACATTGCGTGTTTCATCTAAGGAATCGTACCCTAATGATTTCACTGACAAATTTTTAGGAAAATGAATCTAATTCAATTGTTTTTTTGTCTGATGGACACATTTAAAGTTGTATTTATTTTTAAATATATAGGAAAGTCTTGTAAGTGGACACAATATATTTTTAATTAAAATCATTGGGAACAATATATAAATTGTCTTTACTCTACAACTCTTTCATTCCATATAATCGGAGGGATGGAGGAGGGTTATCGCTATCTTTCTTTATTCATAATTTTATTGATTTACTTGTACTTTACAATATTTATGTCAATAAAACATCTAATTGTAGTTATTTTGTAGCGTTTTTCAAAGATTTAAAGTACCATATTAATAAATAGCAATAAGCTGATAGTTAATTGCAAGAGCAAGACTAAGTGCGCAAGACCAAGACCAAGACCAAGAGTAAGTGCACAAGACCAAGACCGAGACCAAGACCAAGGTTCGATGACGCAAGACCAAGATGAGATCGAGGCGGTCTTGGTGTTGGTCTTGCGTTGGACAACACTAGAATATACGATCGCC